ACCATTCAGCAGCTCTTCCTGCTCCTCCCTGCCTCTGTGCCACACTTTGAGTGCACTCAGGTGCAGTCTGGGGAATCAGATGCAGGGATTAATCTCACTAAAACCCCAAAAATGTACCTTCAAAAAAACCCTGCAGGGCTATTTTTACACTGGATCATTTCCCTGGTTCTGCTTGTTGTCTTGCTCCACTGCCAATCCCTCCTGCAAAACCAAGAAGGGGGCAGAGGCCAGGAGTGAACAGAGGGAGTCTGGCCAGCATAGCTGCACAGAGGGAGCTAGGGGCATCGGAGCAGCTCCAGCCAACTTGGGTTAGGGGCTTCAACTCAGGTCAGGGGCTTCACAGCCCTGTGTTGCTCCCGGCTGTGCACTCCTCCTCCTCCCTCCATCAATCGTGGATCTTGCTGCACGGTCTGCGAGTTCAACTAGCTAAACTGGCAGAAGACAAGCTCCTTTCTCTCTCCCTCTCATCACTGTGCCAGTTTTTGGTTAATTTAGCACCCTCAATTCAACTCCCTGCACAGTAAACAAGCACTACTGGGAAGGCATTCCCACAGGAGCAGTAAACCAGTTTATACTATCAAGCCATCAACTTCAGCCTTGATTATTCAAGTTTAAATAAAACACTTCAGTGTATGGACTAGTTTAACTCATTAGTTTAGTATCACAGAGTTGAAGGCATAAAACTGTACTTCACTGAGCTAAGATAAAGGGACACAGGCCACGTCTCTTTCATGCCACTGGCATTATAAAGGGATTTGGTGACCTGAGAAGGCAACACTGGTCGCTGGTACTTAATTGCTTAAGCCTCTTTGTGTTAATAACGCTACTTGTACTTCTGGTTCCACTCATGATATCTGGACAAAAATTAGAAAAATAGAATTAAAATTAAAACAAGACCTTTAGTTGATTTTATGTAACAAGGGGTGGTATCTATTTCACTCAGTGGAAACTCGTGGCTCAACTCAAAGCACCTAATCCATTCAAAGAAGAAATAAACAAACATGCAAGCATAGAGTCTTTAAGGCACAGTTATCAAAACCTAAATTCATATTCTTATCTTAACCTACAGTTAACTGCAAACGTAAAAAAAACCCAAACAAACCCTAGGTGTTTCCACACTGATTTCTGCACACAATTTTAGCTAGTACCTCTTTGAGAACTCAACTCATCCATAGATGCAATTTCTTTGTGAAGACACAATGGAAGTTACTGTACAACCTACTTCTTAATTAAATCTGAAGTGCTTTTATCATTCTACCACTTCAGTCCCCTGCAAGAACTTTGATACCTGGGTTTCCCAAGTGGAAGGCAGCAAGGGATATAAACTTACACTATCCTGAAACCATGAGCATGCAGTCTGCACTGACATGAACTCTTACTGCTTCCTATTCAGCCAAGATTTTGCTGTGTGCTTATGCACTCTTGGTCTCTGAATGTCATTGAGGGCACATCTTGGCATGCCACATGGTACACAGCTGATGAGCAAAGAGCTTGGATTCCCTTCCCCTGCAGCTTTATGAATGCCACGGGGTACTCGTTACACAGGCAGACTGCATTAATTCTGAAAATATGTCCACTTGTTCAGTTCAGCACAGCAGTGCCAAAACATGCATCTAGAGGATGCATCTCCACTAACAAAAGGAGCAGGAATTCTCTCTCTCTACTTCCTCTGGAGGTGTTTTATTCACGGTTCAGTGAAGTGCATGGTAAGCTGCAATCATGAGCAGAATGCTATTTAAAAGCATTTATATGGGTCAGAACTAGAAATGTAATGGTAAACAGGATAAAAGAAGCAAACAGCTAGTTTCCTGGAAGCAAGCAAAAAACCTGAACACATCAAAGGAAGACTGATGTCATTCTATTAAATAAGAATAAACTAAAATGAAATTGAAGGAATGTTTAAAGTTTGCATCTTATTTCTCATATGTAGCAAATGAATATCAGTGTGATGCCTACCAGGGACCACATAATCTTACTAAAACAGATTGAATCTGGGCAGAAATCAAGTTAGGAAACAAGAATCCACATTGATTTGAGAGGAGAATCAGCAAAACTAATTATTTAACTGTCTCCTACTCTGATGCAACACAGAAAGTCAACAAATAGCATTTCCTAAGCCAAATGCAAGAACCTGAGGTGCGAGGAGGCTGTGATAGACACACGCTGCTCTCTCTTTGGTCACCAAACTTCCTAAACACACAGAAATCCCAAGGATGTAGCCAGTTTGATATAGTTCCCCCAGGCTGTTGAAGAAAACTGCCTGCTCATCTCAGGTGGATTCAAAAGGAAGGATGCAGCCCTCCCGCATCCTCCAGTCCCTCCTACCGACCAGCACTGGAGCGATCCCAGCAGAGTTCTCCTGCCACAGCTCGGCAGGGAGACAAAGCGCTGCTCAACCCCATTGTACACTGGGTGGGGGCAAACCCAGGGCAGTTTGGGATTTACCACTGTACCTTTTACACAGTTACAAAACATAATACACAAAAAACTCTACAACCCTTAGGAACCCAGGGAAGGGAAGGGAGCATTGAGAACACAGCACAAGGCAGGCAGCAGGAGCATCTGCTTTCGGATTCCCAAGAGAGAGGAGAAGAAGAGAGAGAGGTTTCATATCATTAGATTAGAATGGAAACCACAGGGCAGGAAAATGCATTCAGATATTTTATTTCATTTCCCTAAGGTGGAGGAAGAACCCAAGAGTGAGTGAGCGGCCTCCAGAAAGATACATTTCCTTTGCTTCACCATCAGATCAAACTATTGCTTTTCCATTATTATGTGAATACCAGGTGCTTCGTGCAGCTACACCCCACTCAAACACTGGGGCCTCCCATTTTCATGCTAAGCAGGAATAATCTTGCATTCTTTTTAAAACAGGAATTATTTTGGATAGAGAAGGATGCAAAGACACCACAAAATTATTCTTTGGGTGCTTTCTCATTCTGTTCAGATTCTGCCCCATTCCTCACAGTGGCTATCAGTTTTGCAACTGCTTTTTGCTGTAAGACAACAAAAAAGCAGTAGAAAACTGCATGGTCAAGGACTAGAACATCATCTCTTTGGATCACTTTCTTTTTTCATGTATTTATTAAGGGTTCAGGATAAAATTCGTCAAGGAACTTTTCAGCAGCAACTTTTGTTTTAGCTGAAAACCAGAAGCCTTGGGCTCTAACAGCTGCACAAGGTATTTTTCATAGTTATAAATCAAGTCTTCACAGAAAGCCTCCGACATTAATGTTGCCCAGAAGGGAAAGGGCATCTGTGGGCGTTTTAATACAGGGTTGTATGGATGGAAGAGAGAGTTAAGTTCACGTGCAGAGAGGAAAACACTGCTCTGGAAAGCACAGAAAGTGGGGGACAAAGGATAGAGCTCACCACTTTGCCAGGCCAGTTATTTTTGTTCTTTTGCAATTACATCCAAACAAGCAGGGATTTGATAGGCCAGAGGCTATTCCCAAAGCCAAATAGAAATGACTAAAATCAAGACTAATTCACAGATAGCTCTGGCCTATAAATACCATAAGAACAGCCGAGAGCAGAATAAATATTTACAAACTCAGCATAGCTGATTGTTTGGGTAAAGCGTATAGATTTTGATCCACACAGGGAAGTAGAACTTTCTAACTAAGCCATATAGACATTTACTTGTTCAGACTATCGTATTAAAAAAAAACAACCAAAAAGCAAATCCACAAACAAAAAACACCCGCCCAAACCATGGTATTTAAGCACAAACAAAGGATGGGGAAAGGGCTAACCCTCATTCCTTCTGTATACCAATCAACTGCTTTCTGGTTTCCAGCTAATACAGACACTGAAGAATTTCAGAATGCATCTAGGGCAACATGGGTGGAAATTTGCAGAGGGCTCTGAACGTATGGGATATATGTTGAAGCAAAGAGGCCACCTTAAGACTGTGAACCTCAAATCCAAGCGAAAGGCATAGACTCTAAACCAAAACTGCATAGATTAATTGCAACTTCAAAATCTCTTGTGTGCATGCACACATGTGCACACACGTGTGTGGGGGGAGGAGGGAAATTTTGTTTTAATTGAAAATGGGAATCTTAGCATTGATTAAGTCAAGCAGAGTATAGACATGCACTGTGCAAGCTTCCCCCATAGAGCTTTGGCAATGCACCTCGCTCCTGACCTGCAAAACTCCCTGCTATTCCAGTGCTGAACCTCCTGGGCAGAGAGAGAATCACATCAATTTGTCATTGTGGTGATACTGGTTATGTGATGAGAACCAATTGCCAATTAGGACAGAGATCACTGACACTCTCTGCAGCTGACCTGAGCAACATTTGAAATCTCATCTCCAGAGAAATAAATTATTACTATTAACCCTCAACAAAGCCTCCCTCTTAACATATCTGTAAGATGGAAATAGGCGTGTGAATGCAAATTCAGTGGGGAGAGGTCCACACTGGGCAGGGCAAGTGGAATGAGAATGCTTGTATTAAGCATCAAATATCTCAAATGTGAAAGGTCAGTACCTCAGAAGTGCCGACTAAGTCTGCAAAATAGAGTAAATAAAACCCTTTCACATATGAGATATGACAACTTTTCTATAGAAGTATTTTAATGCAAAAGAAATGTGGTTTGAGGGTTGGGGGGCTTAGGCTTTGTTCTTACGGTCTCCCATCACTCAAAGCTGTTTTACCTTATTCTGCCTTCCCCACAGGGCACCCATTGCTAGTGCAATGGGAATGGGTTGGTATGAAGGCTCAAGGGAGTGACTCTCTGTTCATTCAAAAGGCTGGGGAACCTGATCCCACATTACAGGTAGGAATGCCTAACAGCATTTGTACATGCTGCCCAGAAATGACCATGCTCAGAGTCTGGAGTCAGAGGGAACAGGAGACAGTCCCCAAAATAGCTTTTCCCTTCCCCCATCACACTAATGCCTGCTGATCTCTACAGAGTATATTCTCTAGGCAATGAACTGCCTTTTACTCTGCAATCAAAACAAGAGAAGCGAGTACAAAAACAGGACTTACCTTCGAGCCACGCTCATTAAAGATTATCTCTACATCAAGGATTTTGCCGAATTGCTGCAGAGAGACAAGAGGGAAAAAAAAAGATTTATTTTTGGCAATCCATTTTTGCTACCTTTTGGGGGCTGGCTTAATGCAAGAAGGGAGGTGAGAATATTTCCATTTCTATCATACAGGCAAAGGCATAAAACCCCAGTGACATGACCCAGTTCTCTCGGGTTAGGACATGTGGATCCTCTTGGTCACAGACCCCAGGTTTTCTCACAGAAGTCTACAGAAAGAAAAACAATCTCCAGAAGAGTTTTAGAGATTAGAGGCGGCTTTTCTTTCCTCCCTTTTAATCTAAACAATTCTTTCTTTCCTCTGTCTACTCTTTCATCTAAGACTTGGCTATATGATTTCATCTCGGACATCTAACACCATTTCTCAAAGGTAATTCAGCATTTCATCTTCCTCCTGAAAGTGGTTATCACAAAGAGAAACTTGTTTCTCTGGAGGGGATAGTTACACAAGACACCCAAGCTCATGGATTCCAAACTCCAAATCTTCTTTCCTCCCACCTTCCCTTCACTTCCCAAAACTCCAAGCCTTCACGACGACTGATGACAGATTCAGAAACCATGAGAATGGCCATCTCTCAACAGTTTGCTTTTCAGAAAAAGAACATTCAACTTCAACTTGTGACATACAGCAGCCTGACAATAACCTATGCAAATTTATCACGTATGATAGAATTTTGACCTCTGTCTCAGCCTGGAGACCCTGAGGAAAGTAGGACCCCACTACTCTGCTTCCACAACTGGTACCAAACAGCTCCCTACACAGCACAGAGCAAAAGAGGGAAATGAGAGCTACAAGCTACAAAGGAGATTAACCACACTCTGTGGAACCATACATGGATTATATCCTTCCCCTTGGAACATATTTAAGTATTTTTATTGAACTGGCCAGAATCAAAACAGTAGCCTATAGGTAAAAGTATCACCAATATTGTATTTCCGAACTGGAGGTCTTCGCTCCAGAAAGACAGGTCTAACGTCTCATTTTCAGTAGAATACATATGGAGCAGTCTTCACTCAAGAGATGCATATTGCACTCAGACAAATGCTGTATCTGAGCATCTTTCCTACCCCATTATTCATGAAAGCTTCCATCAACATGGGTTTGATCTTGCTGCTTGCAGAAGTTTTAAAGGTGGTAGCAAATGAAGGAAGGGTCAACAAAAAAGGAAAGGAAAAACAAAGAAATCAGACTCTGCTCACTGAAACACAATTTTTATGCCATGGTGCTCTTAGTATTGTATTTGTTTTTGGTTTTTGGGTTTTTTTTAAATTAACATTTCCATTTGGAGTCAAATGGGTATAATGCTCATTCTGCGGGTGCCCTGCTTGAAAGACTTGTGGCCAGACTTGCAAACATGGGACATTTACAACAGTGAGCCATGAAGGCTGAGGAGAAGTTCTGAATATGTAAATCAGTAAAAAGCTATTAAGCCCCTTGAACAAGTATTCCACAACTGCCTGTAAGCAAGCAAAATGCTTCCAAAAATTTTAGCTGTAGTTTGTCTGCTTCCACTCCCCATTCTTAAAAAGGAGATAGTTGTATTCTTTTACAAATGTTGGTTCACAGATGTTGGTTTTATTGTTCTATTGTTTAAGGACAATACTTGATCTTCTATTCATCCCAAGAACAATTGAATTCACAATATTCTACGTTACACAAAGTTTGAATAATGCTAATGTAAACACGCATCTTCCTTAAAACCTCAACTTCTCAACAGCTTAGGCTTGATCCATGCTGGATCCTCTTTTGACCACTGCTGTGCCAATCACAGCTAAAATACATTTTCTATTTCTATCCCATGCTTGGTGTGGGCTTCTCTATAAAGGAGATTAGCTGTTGATTGCTTTTTGTTGTCTTTGTTGCATATGGCTTGGGCACTGCCATGAAAGAAATTGGTCATGATTGCTTTCTTGGTAGACTATTTCAGTGCTGTTACACGACAGGGGCTGAACCAATTTAACAGCTCCTGGCTGCTGCAGGGCTGTCCCTGCTCCCTTGTCCTTCCTTGTGTGGTCTCACCAGCTTCCTGAAGCTGGCCCCTGTTTTCATTCTCACCTGCAGGTAAACCGATAGAGCTCACCAATCCTGTGAAAAACTAGCTCAACAAAAGGAATAAATAAAAGTTTTTGATGATTTACTGCTCTGGAGTGGCTCAAAGGGTCAGGCAAGCATTAAGGCTCCGGGAAGCAAAAGGGAGTGGAAAGCAGCGCACCCTGCCCAAGAGCAGGATCTGCCCCTGGCCAGATCAGCTCAGCTGCCTAACCTTGCTGGGCTCTCAATAAATGCAAATGCCGAAATTATTTTCAGAATAACAAAGCCATAAGAAAAAAAAAAAATAATCACCATTTTCTACCTCATTAGAATCATCTTGAAAGAGAACAAACTGTGCAGCTTCTGGTGCACAATTATGCCGTGCCATCTTCCCCTTTCTCCACACCCAGCTGGGCCTGGATCCTCGGGTACTGCTGCCAGCACTGCCTGCCAGCCCCGCTGGGCTCAGCTCACCGAACAGGGCTCCCACACCAACAGGAAATCCTTGTCTTGTGCGTTTCATGTCTTGTGGCTGACAAAAAGCTGGCAGGAACACTGAATGCAAGTGGTCTGACTTACCACCGCAAGAGGTGGCAGGGCTGCCTCCCCGCCTTGCAGATGATGGAGGTACATCATCTCCTAGACGACAGAATTAAGATCACCAAAGCCTGAGGCTGCAGCAAGCACAGGCTTGACATCTGCTGCAATGGGCTACATCCACCCATGCAAGCAGCCCCAATCTCTTTTCTATCTAGGAGCTGAGCATATTTGAGGAGGCAGGAGGGAAGGACCTGCTTGGGAGAGAAGGAGCAGAGACAACAGGAGCTGACTGCTGAACTGAGGTTTACCGGGGAGGGGCTTCCTGCCCTATGAAATTCCCTGGAAGAAAGCAGCACGGCCATGAGGCAGGAGGACATGCTCTGGGCTCTTCAAGACTGCTGCAGCCGTTGCTGCAGCTGCTCTGACAGCTCCTAACACCACGGCTCTTGTTATTGCTGCTGCAACGGTTACAGCAGGTTCAGCACTGGAGGCACTTTTGTTTTGGTAGCATGCCAGACCTTTCCTGAAGAATGAAAGCAGGCAAAAAAAAAAACCAACCTAGTTCATTTTAACAGTTTATATCTCCTTCAAAGCTGAATCTAATTTAGTGAAACATAAAAAGGCACTTTGTTCTCTGATGGTGCTTTGCGTACCAAATGTCAACAACCTACTGCAAACAATGGAAGTTTTAAGAGCTCCTTAGTGAAAGGTCACAATTTTTGTATGGAAAATGCTAGGCCATTTAAATACAAGGGTCAACACCAAATGCCCCCGTAGTAATTTTTTAAAATCATGTATACAGGCATGTTTGTATTTTCCAGCAGACAGAGGGGCTATCCAAAGAAAACAAGACCCATGCTTAGGTCATCCATGAGGACTAATCTTCTAATCTCTAACCTTGAATATATGAATCACTTTGCTCACAGACTTGACTTGTTCACTCAATGATCACCAAGAACTTCTATTTACAACCCTTCACAGCAGCCAGGGAAAAAAATCCTCAGCAGAGTTCATAGCCTCTGAAGAAGGCACTGCAGGACTACACATCTCAGATGCTCCTCTCCATGACTTAAGAAGCTCACTGTGTGATCAAGAAGCCAGCATCCCCCATCACACGTCAGGTCATGCAAGAAGCCTTCTCCATGAACTCCTCATGCACACGCCATATGAATGATACACAGACAAACACACACTTCCAGTCATGCCATGGCATAGCTATAGCATCTTATTTTATCTTAGAGCTCCATTCCCTGGAGTGACCTTGTACAAGCTCCTAGTTATTCTGTAAAGCAGGTAAATGAGAATCATCTCATCTATAATAGTAGTAGGGTCTGTGGGAAATAACAGTTTTAAGAGGCATAAAGATATTAACACATCAGCTAGGACCAGGAGCCAATTTTCTTGCTTTGAACATTATGTACCTTATCTTAGATGCAAGGGTATTGTGCAAGGAAAGGTATATACATGCTGTGTGTTTCTCTCCACCCAAATGCCATGAAGGCAGATTTTTCCAGCAGAGGCCATAACTATATTACGTATAATACATTTGAGAGATCTGGCAACAGAGAGCTTTTGCCTTCCAAGACACTGACAGTTTGGTAGGCCCTCTCCTGTATGCTCGGTTCCAGCTGGCCCTGCCTCCTCTCCCTGTCTAGAGCTTTCAAAATTCGCTCCAAAACATGCTAGACAAATAACCCTAAAGATGCTGACAACAGGGAGTACAAAGCACATTCTCTAGAAGTCACAGAACAACTAAAGGTAAAGGTGAGACACCACATAATGACCTCACATCCCTACAAGAGAGCTCTGTATCCGCAGCAGCTTTGCACTGGACCTACAAAATTCACTTAGAGATGAGTGCAGTGAGCTATCCTTGAAGGCGACAAACAGTCCATTCCTAAAGATGGCCAAAATAGCCTTTTCAGGTCCTCAGACTTGAGCGAGAGCATTTCATATGCAGGATAGGTCCATGCTGCAGAGAGCATCCTTACCCTAGCTCCCAGCTCCACGGGATATACTTTCAGCTGAGAACATCTGGCATCCATAGTAGTGTGTACTAGTCAGTGCTTAGTTATGGCAGCATGGGGTTGGCCAGAGCTATGCTGCTATCAGTGTATGAACTTCCTCACCTAAAGCTGGGTCACATCTCTTCAAAATAGCAGGGTCAACCCTGCTACAGCCAACCCTCTTCAGCCAAACTACACCAGTATGCTTTACTGACAGGAAGATGGCAGCACTGAGGATTTATAAACCAAAGCACCATCATCATTTAACTGAATAGACAGTAAACAAGTACCACCAAGCCCTTATTAGAGTTGACCTGTTGCCCTACAAAACACATGTTTTCTATGAAACCAGAGTTTAACAAGAAGCCACACAAACAGCAAAGATTTCTAATAGGATTTACAGACCACAGCCATCCC